CCTTTCCATTTTTCTTTTTTTTTTTTTTTTTTTTTGAGCACTTTGGTTGTATTATTAAACCACTTGATAACCTAAAATGTTACTGTTTGTCAGTGAAGTCCATAACACCTTTTCGTTCTTTGGCTTAAAGGAAGAGATGTGCTCTCTGCTCATAGATGGCCTTTTTGGTTTGTGTGGTTTTGCTAGAAGGTGGTAACTGGCACCTTGCTTTTTCATAAAATTTAAGGGTGCTTTTTAATGAATTTCCTTTGCTGTTTTTCAAGGTAACTAATTCACATATTCAGTAACTCATAAGAAACTGAAAGGAAATTACATGGACTATTACATGGCTGTTTCTCTTTCAGCAATGCTTAGTAAGCATGTTTCATCATTCCAGAAATTCTGTTCAGTCTAAGCCTAATTTTGGAAAGGAAGGAAGACTGGCTGTTTCTATCTGGAACTTGCTTGTGACAGGACAGAAACTTTGTAACTGAAGGAATACATGTAATTTGTGTTTGAAGAAATTAATAACCATAAGGAAAAATTTGATTAGTTGGAGTCTTAGTTTTTTTATTTGATTTCAACTGTTACTGGAGAGTGACCAGATTCATTAAATGTTTCACCTAACCTCTCTTTGAGTATGCCCTAACCACGTGTATTGGGTTTGTGTGGCAAGGTTTTGGTAGCGGGGGGGGTTACAGGGGTGGCTTCTGTGAGAAGCTGCTGGAAGCTTCCCCTGTGTCTGACAGAGCCAATACCAGCCGGCTCTAAGATGGACCCACCGCCGGCCAAGGCCGAGCCCATCAGCAATAGTGGTAGCGCCTCTGTGATAACATATTTAAGAAGGAAAAAAAGTTGCTGGGGCAGACAGAAATGGCAGCTGGAGAGAGGAGTGAGAACATATAAGAGAAACAACCCTGCAGACCCCCAGGATGGTGAAGAAGGAGGGGGAGGAGGTGCTCCAGGCACCGGAGCAGAGATTCCCCTGCAGCCCGTGGTGAAGACCATGGTGAGGCAGGCTGTCCTCCTGCAGCCCAGGGAGGTCCCTGGTGGAGCAGATATCCACCTGCAGGCCGGGGAGGACCCCACGCTGGAGCAGGTGGATGCTGCCGAAGATGGCTGTGACTCCATGGGAAGCCCACGCTGGAGCAGGCTCCTGGCAGGACCTGCGGATCTGTGGAGAGAGGAGCCCATGCTGGAGCAGGTTTTCTGGCAGGACTTGTGACCCCGTGGGGGACCCACGCTGGAGCAGTGTGCTCCTGAAGGACTGCACGCCATGGAAGGGACCCATGTTGGAGCAGTTCGTGAAGAACTGCAGCCCGTGGGAAGGACCCACGTTGGAGCAGTTCGTGGAGGACTGTCTCCTGTGGGTGGGACCCCACGCTGGAGCAGGGAAAGAGTGTGATGAGTCCTGCCCCTGAGGAGGATGAAGTGGCAGAAATAACATGTGATGAACTGACTGTAAACCCCATTCCCCATCCCTCTCTGCCGCTCGGGGGGTAGGTAGAGAATCTGGGAGTGAAGCTGTGCCTGGGAAGAAGGGAGGGGTGGAGGAAAGGTGTTCTGAGATTTGGGTTTATTTCTCATTACCCTACTCTGGTTGATTTGTAATAAATTGAGTTAATTTTTCCCAAGTTGAGTCTGTTTTGCCTGTGATGGTAATTGATGAGTGATCTCTCCTGTCCTTATCTCAACCCATGAGCCCTTTGTTATATTTTCTCTCCCCTGTCCAGCTGAGGAGGGAGGAATGATAGAACAGCTTTGGGCACCTGGCATCCAGCCAGGGTCAACCCACCACACCATGTCTCTGGTCTCCTCCTTTTGGATGCTTGATGGCTGTCATTGTGGATTTTTCGTTAAGTGAAAATAACAACTTCAGTAGAAATAACAGTTTTCAAATCCACTTCTAAATAGACACTTATGAATAGCAACTTTGTCCAGCTGCTCATAGATTGCATTAATCCCCTTGCACTGCTTGTAATGGGTTTGTGGGATATCTTTAGCAGCTGGAAAGAAGTCTGTCTTAACAACGCTTGTCAGCATCACCTTTTATAGTTCCTACAGCATATCATCTACTGCTTGCTGCTGAAGTGCTGAGCTACTCTAGCTTGGATGCATGTGACTTATGAGTCTTGCATACATTTATCCTATGCATAAGCACTGCAATTACCTCATGCTTATGTGTCACAAGCATGGGCATGAACCTGCTGTGTAATACAGAATGCTCATGTAATGGAGGAATGCTTGGTGGAGCGATGTAATTTAAGTGTGGTGCAAACAGGACGAGTGTTTGTCAAGCATGAGCTGTATGTTCTGAAACTAGTACAAATAAATGGTCATCTTTTGGATGGACAGATGTCTAGCGCTTTGATCTGTCAAATGCTAGATGACAAGAGTATCAATTACTAAACAGAAAGCTGTTAAATCTTTTTGTTTTTAAATTTGGGTTTAGAAGATTGAGCTGTATGTTCTAATGCTGTTAAGACTAATTTACATCAACACAGGGACAATAGTTTCTGGTTTTAAAAGTCAGATTACTAGTTTTATTACTACTTTTAAAGATACTTATGCACTTTGGCAATGTTTGTGGGTTTGAACTATTCTGCAGAAGCAGCTGAGGCTTGAGTGGTATAAATGACATTAGTAGTGAGTAGGATTAAAGGATATTAAAACAAGCCAAGGAATGACTTGTTCCCTTTGTTTTCTTTTTTTTATTATTTTTAATATCTCATATGCATGAAGTGACGAGTTTCCTCTTGTTTAGACAGATTTAGGAATGACATTTCCTGGTTTCATCTCCTGGGGGAAAAATACCTCTAGAAGGAGGCTACCTTGGGGTGGCATTAAAAACTGCTTAGAGAAATAGCAGTTGTAAATGTGTGGTGGAGCTGTCCCTTTGAGGGACTGGATCTTTTGAAATGCTTTCCAGATCTATTTTCCGAGTTTCAATATGAATTGAACTTCTTTCAGAACAAAAACTTCCCCACTATCTAGTCCTGTCCCCAGAAATAAGTCGATCCATTATTTCTGGTGGTGTTCTACTATCGGTAATTCTGAACTGGTAGTTTGCCTGGCAGTGGTGGTAGTTTATTTATGTTTTATTGCTGTTTTCCATTTTGTATCTCAAAACGTTGCCTCCTTTGAGAAGAATCAGTTTATCAATAAGTGGGTATAGCAGTGCTTGTGTACAATGGGCAGTTATTCTCATTTCATACATCCACTGAACAAAAGTGGAGAAAACCTGTGGGAAATAATGAAACCTTTGAAATTCACCAAGGGTTATTATGAAATATGACCTCAAAATTTCTTGTAATTATACCAGGAGAAGTTGCAGTCTCTTACTTAATATATAGTCAGCATTTTGAGAGGTAGAATTAATTAAACTATTAAGGTTTGTGGCCAATGTCTTATCGATAGTTACACATACTAGTGATCTGTGAAATGGTTTTAACTCTCTGAACAATTGCACAAATTGCTCAAAAATCTGATTTAAAATGTTGATTTTGCTGTTTTGCTTATACAATAACAATACTAGCTCTTTGAGCTTTTTTTTTTCCTTTCTGTACAGGCATGCTTATAGGTTCAAAGATTTATTTCTTCTTTAATTTCTTCAAATTTACAGACTAGAGTCTCCCTGACATTCAGAAGGTTGCCTGTTGCTGATCCGTATGGAGAGGGAACCATATTGAACTGTGGAGCAAGACCATTTTGTGCATAATTCTCCTTTCTGGCCTGTTGCATTTGTCTTCTCACTAGAACAGGATTATACCCCCAGGATGTTGATAAATATTGATAAGGATCAGTTGCAGTCTGAGCAGTTACTTCTATTATGCATGAACTATTGTGTTTGAATAAGAAGGAATTTTTATTGACACGGGTATGATGTGTTGGGCTCTCTAATTATCGTACTGTTGTTAAAGTGGTTATCCCTTCGTCTTGACTTAGGGTGGAAGAACTGGCAAGGCTTGGGAGGTCCTTTGCCTCCTATCTCATTTGGATTCTTGCCAATGTCACCGAACCAATTTTTTAATGTGTGCTTATTAGACTACAATTTTTCGTATCGTTTTTCTTTTCCACTAAAGCTCAGCTCAGAGTTTGTCAGAAGGACTAAGTATGTTCTTGCGATGCTGGTGAGTGTTTTGAAGAACATCATTAGTCACTTCAGCTCTGTGTGTTTAGGCTTGCCTACAGGAGGCATGGTGACTAAGGGAGATGGTGTAGCCTTTCTAGGTCAAAGTCAAATTGGGCTGCTTCTGTCATTCTGCAGAAGTTTTGCAGCCCTCCCTCTGAAGATCTTCATCTGCAGTTCTGAAGCCCTCGCTGCCCTTGCTAACCACAAATAAGCACAAAGTTTTTGATTCAGTGGTATAGCTTTCAGATGTGTGCTGTCTTCCTTCCCACTGCTGAGCTCCTGTGCTGGGCAGTCTCTTGCATGATTACCTTTTCTTTGAAAAAGAAAAACAGTTCAGGCTGGCTAGTGCTGCTGAATTGGAGATAACTGCTGTGTGCAAGCAATGCTTAGGTGTTTCTAACTGTTTCCTTCTTGTGCTTCTCTGCTCTCACAGGTTGGCTATCCTTTACTGGTAGCTTCCATGGTAGTCTCTCTCATGGTCTGCAGTCCATTACTTAAAACCTTCTGAAAGCAAGTAAAAATCAATTTTGTTTGCTCGATTCCTTTGTTTTTCCCTTTCCCTGTCACAATGAGATTTGGACTAACTGTGTGATAGCAAAAAGCTTGAGTCAGTCCGGGCTTTGGATCCTGCTTGCTGCTTAAACACATTTACTCAAGCTCTTTGTTCCTTGCGCAGACAGTTGCTGATGGTTTTCAGTCGCTCTTTTGTTTCTCACCTTGGTTAAACCTGCCCAGGCACCCTGTGGGTTAGTGGCTCCCAGTGGCCAGGGCACCAGGAGTGGCAGGGGCACTCTGGGGCTTGCAGCCGGTGGGGGGGGGTAGCCCCAGCCCGAGGCATTGGGCACCTCCCTGGGGATGAGGACAAGCTGAGGCCAGGCCAGGACATCAGCCCGCGGGCAGGTGAGGGGGCAGGATCAGGCCCGTAGAGGGGAACTGTAGTCAGACAGGGCTGTAGGGACGGGCCAAGGCCAGGCTAGGGTATGGGCCCGTGGGTGGGCCTGGCTCGGTGAAGCCCGTGGCTGGGCAGGGCGGTGGGGAGCTGGAGGGCGGCCCTGCTGGGTGTCACTGGGGCAGGGGCTGACGGCCCCGGGGGCTGGCGTGGCGGCCTGGGCTGTGGGCAGGGAGGGGGGAGCCCTGGGGGGGCTGTTAAGGCCTGTCAGGGTCCTGACAAAACCTATACAAGGTCTTCGCTGTAAAATTAAAATACCTAATAGAGCAGTTTAAAATGCCTATTTAAATACGAGGCGTTTTTTTTTTTAAAGAAAAAACATAGCGGAAGCACTGGTGGTGGTCAGATGAGTAGAAGGCTGGACTGAGGATATTTGCTAGCACAGAAAGATCATGAACATACTGGCAATCATTTTTGACATCGTAAAACTTGACTTTTAAAAAATTTAACTAGCTATTTCTTTGACATGCTTCTGGTAAATTTCTTTTCTATAACAGTAAGAGGTGCTGTACAATTTTAATATTTGTACTCTTGTACCCCTGCTGATGCTTTCAATGTACTATTTTCTTTTTTGGTCAGATTGAATGTCATGGAGATAACAGCTTGTCATCGCTTGTTTGCAGATATCTTCTTGGAGAATTGTAGTCTACATTTAAACCTTGGCTGAGAAAAGAGGATTACTTCCACTATTCCCTTCTCCATCTATGTCTTTTCTTTCTCCTTTATGCTAAATAACAATTAGTACGTGAAGAACTTTGTTCATGTAATTGATGTGCCAAAGATCGTATGGTTTACAGCAGCAACAAAAAGTCTGAAAGTTTTTGCACGCTATTTTTATTTTGTGGCATAAGACAACCTGGTTTTTGCTCTTGGCCATACATAAATAAATGAAGTTAGTAGTGCTATATATTTACCTTATTATGGCTGCTATGTAAATCAAATGGGTTTTGTGAGAGTATTTTCTCTGATATACCACAACCACCTGTTCCATTTGGGAGAAACTTGCTTGCTGATTTACATTATTTAAGGTAGAAGGTAGACAAAAAGTGAGATAATTCTAATATTGCTGTTCTAATATTGCTCTGAAACTAGATTAATCTCAGACTTATTGGGAAGAATGCAATGGGAATGTGGCAAAATCACTTCTTTAAACCCAGCAGTTTTCTGGCTATCAGGCAGTGACCAACTGATGGACGTGTTGTGTATTGAACTTAGTATGATATAACTGACCTGTAGCTGTTATGTTCTATACTTTTGTATCTTTGTCAGATAACTGACAATGCCCTTAATAGACCTGAATTTAACAGTTGCATGTTGATTGCTTTGCTGCAAAAGTAGAAAATCAAGGATGGTAGAGAGGTGGTAATATAGTGGTTTTGGGGGTTTGTATTTCTCATATCAAAATACGCATACAGTTTTATTAAGGAACTAGTTACATGCAGCGTACAGTGGTACTAAACTCTTACATCATCAGCTCAAGGTAATCTGTTTCTCAGATTACTCTTAGTTTGGGCTATCTCTGTAGCTCAGATGAGTAAAGGCATACATTTGTTGGTTAATTGCCATAGGGTTTTTCCAGGTTGTTAACATTTCAGCTGCATGGATGCATGTCTCTTCTTGCATTTGGTTTGAAAGCTGTGAGAAAGATCTTTCTTCTGCAGTATTGAACAGTATCTAGGTCATTGAATGAAGACCAGAGAGCCCCTTAAAACACAAGTGAAATGTAATATATTTGAGCATAAATAAAATAATTTGAAGTGAGGGGTTTATGACTGTGTATTTGGAGCTGGTTTCCAGTTCCATGCATTTCACTAAGGTATGGATACTTAGCTTCCATTAATGCTTTGAAGTGCCAGGTTTTCATCACTGGGATGCAAATTAGATACACCTTAGAGTAGTGTTAGAAAAGAAACCGGATAGGAAGGAGGAAGTACTGTCTTAGAAAACAACGAGCCACGTGCAAAGGAGGATATGGTTATAACAGGGTGGGGGAGGAGAACGCAAGTGTGCATCATAAGTAAATTTATCTCTATTGAACTGGTTGATACTGGGATTCTGTGCATTTTAGGGGTAGACGAAAATAAATGTTTTATTTACTAGGGGAAGTCGCAAACATCATGTAATGGTTACTTCTCTTAAGTTAGTGTAACTCCACTAATTTTATTCAAGTATGCAGTGAGAAAGACTTTTAAAAACTTAGTTAACAAAGCTGTCTGAATGAAATCACTCTACTGTTTTAACCTTTGATGTCAAACTGAACAGTGCTGAAAGTTATTTCTTTCATTATCTGTTAATAAACTGTACTTTGGCCTTAGTTTAATTTTATGTCACAAGAAACAAATAATAATAGTTTTTGCTGCATAAGATCTATGGAATTAAATTTTAAAGCCAGAAACCTGAATATTTAAAAGTTACACATTTTTACAGATCATAACTGGGAAATTAAATTTTTATTGGGAAGACAGTGTTTTCTTTTTCCTAAATAAGCTGTTCAAGCATTGGCAGCATCCACTGCTATTTCAGTGTTAACACAATAGTATTTACAAAAGAGTAAGGCAGGAGCATGACTATCATGCTTTATCTTCTGCATACAAAGTGAAGCTTGATATTTTTAAGAGTGAGACATGCTGAAGGAATTAATTCATCATAAACAAAACATCTGTCTCCCCAGCAATTTTTTGCTGGGTTTGGAATGAGTCATGGGTTTGGGAACTGTGCTGGTCTCAGCGCAATGAGATCACCAGAAGACTTAAGGATTTTCACTGTGTTTTCCAAAAAGAAAAACTATATTGTGAAGTCAGTAAAACTTACCTTCTTTTTACGCTTGCACATGGCCATCTGCTTTTGAGCCTTTATGATACTAAGAACTCTTTTCCGGGAGAGCAGTTTCCTTTTCTTCCCCATTAAATGGATTGAAGGGACTTGAGAAAAAATTTCTGTACTAGTAAAAGTAAGAATCTGAATGCAGTGAGAGGGAATGAAGAGTATGGCAAGAGTGGTGACGAACAGCATGCTGTTGCCAGTTCAGTTTTGGCCTAAATTTGTATATGGGTGAATACCATCATTGAGGGAAAAACTTTGAGTGACTGGCAAAAAGTAGTACAGAAATGTTTCAAAGAAAATCAGATTTTAAACACAAACTACTTGAAAAGCTGTATTCTGGCACTAGTAGATGGAAAACGGTTGAAAAATGAAGCTGTTCTCTTCTGCACTTGATTTTTCTGAGGGTTTATTTGTGAAATATTAGTTTATTTATCTAGTTGAGTTATGGGGGTTTTTTACAAGAAGAAATCAACTTGACTCTTTCAATACATCAGTCCATTCTTTCTAATTTTTGTAGGAGATATACTGGGTTTTGAAATACTGTCTAGCAAGGATCTTGTACAACTGTATTATCCGGATTTGGTGCTGTAGTTTATAAGGTGAGAACAGCAACTATTTTGTTGGCAGAAATGTACACAGTTGGGTTAACATAATCACCTCATGCTTGAGCTTTCCTTTCTGACACTTTCTAAAATCTCTAGATTTGATTTATATGGGAACTGATCCAATCTCAGTGCCTTAAAAGAATCTAGTTTGTTTTATACCTCAGCTCCTGGATCCCATGAGCTTCCTGAGATCTTTTGTTACCATGGTGGTCAGTGGCCCTGTCTCTGGGTCTTTTGCGTGTGTTCCTGCAGTCAGATTCTCTATCTGGCAGTCTCATTAAGCAGTGGGATTCTGTACTGCAGTTATTAGTCATAGGCCCTCCCATGATCTTACTTCCTCTTTAGGGTCTGATTTTCTGTGGGAGTTTTAATTTTCAAAGTTTCTTTTATTTACATTAATATGTCTTAGAGACAGCTGCACATAAATTGAGGAAGGAGGCTTATCCTAAGACTCTTAAAGCATGAACAAATTACTTTTGTACTTGGCAAGACCATTAGGGCACAAGAGTCTATCACCGAACTGCTTCCCATGTCTTTGAGTCAACCCCTTGTCTGGCCAGCCCCTGGCATAGCTGTAGTCCAGGTTGGTAAAACCCAAACCTGGATTTCACCGCACCCTAGCCAGGCTCCATAATATGACCTTGTGAAGCACCTTCAGTGCTTCTGCGTGGAGGCTTGGCTTCCACTAGCACCCACATTTCTGCAGTGAAAGAAACAAGCAGTTCAGCTCCTGAAGCAATAGCTTGGTTTTATTTAGACACTGCAGGATTAAAAAATAAAATAATTCTTAGGCTCTGAAAGGCATTTTATGATTTCAGTTCAGTGTTGGAGAAGGAACAGCTTTTCTCCAGGTATCCTTTCAGTTATCAGAAATCTAGGCAGGGACGGTGCTGCTACCTTCCACAACCCCATTTCATATCCATTGCCAGAGAAGAATGAAGTGTCTGTCCTTCCTGGCTGGGCTGGGATCTTTTGCAACTTGTGTGTTTTGCTCAAGTCCTTAGGAGGAGCCTTCTTCTCCTGGCTCTGAGCGTACCTGATTGCACTCGGATAGGAGAGTTGTACCTCTTCGCATTGTCTCAGCCTAGGGGTCAGGTAGAAGGAGAAGAAAAAAATGACTTTTATATTCTTATACTTGGATGGAAAGCAATTGTGATTGTTCACGCTAATAAGGCAAAATCAGGTTCCTGTGAGGTGTCTTGCCAGAATAGCTGCTGAGACTAGTGTGTTCTAGTTATGTAGGATATACTGCAGTAATAGCATTGTATAATATTTTTGTATATTCCTATATGCAGCAGGTTCTGATTTAGTGCAGAAATTGCACTGCAATCTAACAGAGCCTAACTTCCAACCTGCCTTTTTGCTATGTCTCTGTTTTTAAACCAACAAATAATAGAGTCAGTGTACCAAGAAATTTGCTTCTATCCTGAGACACGTTTGTTCTTATTGAGGAGAAGGCCCATATGAACTCCTCTGTTTTACCAGTTTTTATTCAGTTTGGTTCTTTGTTGTTAAGTTTTGATTTTGAAAAATTTTATCTAGATTGGCTCCATGCCATGTCTTCAGTCAGCCAATTTCACTCAGTATTTGGTGAAAGCTCCTGACATTTCAGGTTCTGTCTTTAAACCGCAATTTCATCATCCTTGTAAACTAATACTGCTGGTGCCTAAGGCAGCCCTAATCTTACCCCTGCTCTTCCTTCCCATGTGCTGACACACAGCTGCGTAGTGAGCAGAGTCAGGGAGTTGATCTGAGTAAAACCAAAACTAATCACTATTTTTCTTCTTTTAAACTGGATTAAACCTGGATTAATTCTCCTGTCTAGTTCAGTGTGCTACCACATAAGCACTGTGCTGCCATAAAGAAGAAAAGTGCACAGGGAAATCAATCATTTCTGCCAACACAAATGCATGAGGTAGACATAAATGAAATGTGAAACAACACAAACTGCTGAAAGAAACTGTCCATGCTCTGAACTGCAGTCCTTCAAACCAGTTTCCCTTTCCCTGGGGAATGTCAGCTGCTCCTTCTCACCAAGATTCTTTAACTTCTTTTTTTGAAATGATTTTTCTTTGCTAAAATATTGGACAAACAATGGAACAAATGGAAAGAGAGCTCAAACCCCAAAACACCACCAACTTAAATTGATTTGTTTCTGTGATAAAGTATTAGGCCATATGAATAAGTTGGAACTGACAAATGTATCTCAGTGATGCCTTTGATACTGTCTCATGTGACATTAGTCATGAGTGAACTAAGGAAATCAAGTTTACATGGAAGTAGCGCAAGATGTAGGAACACAAAAATGATTGTAGAATTGTATTCAAAGGATTTGGCATCTTTCTGGTTCTAACTGGAGGAGTGAAGGGAGGCTGTGTTGGGTCTCAAACAATTTTAAGTGGCTAAAGTGATGGCACACAGTACGTACGTTCTGACTTTTGGTGGGTGTCAGTCTAGAGGCCTGCAAGTGTTGAGAGACAGGATTGGAATTTAAAATGATCTTACAGTGTTGGAGAAATGGCCTGAAAGTAGTAAGTACAAAAATCCCCTGTTAAGTGGGAATAATTAGTTACTCAGATGTCAGATGTCTTTTTTTCAGAAAAATATTGAAGAACATGGTAGATGTTGAACTGAAGCTCTTATCTTTTGCTGACCAGTTGGAAAAGAACCATGTATGGCAGTAGCTGTATAAGCAGGAGTGTTCACTGTAAGGTTTATAAAGTATCAGAGAATCATAGAATATCCTGAGTTGGAAGGGACCTATAAGGATCATTGAGTCCAACTCCCTGCTCCCCACAGGACTACCTAAGACTAAACCATATGACTAAGAGCGTTGTCCAGATGCTTCTTGAACTCTGACAGGCTTGGTGCCATGACCACTTCCCTGGTGAGTCTGTTCCAGTAAGTGACCAAGTAGTTCTTCCAGTTGACTCTGGTGCCATAAATGAAGCTGTGAGTCCAGATTTGAGGATTGCATTTCAAAAAAGATGTAGGGCAACGGGAAAGAGTCTAGAGAGGTGAGGTGTCTGCAACAAGAAATCTGTGAGGAATGACAGAAGAAACTATAATAGTTCAACCTGCAAATGAAAGTCTAAGGGTGGATGTAATAACTGGTCTTATAATCTAAACATATCTGAAAGGTTATAAGAATTAAGTTGACTTCTTAAGACTATCATTTTTCAACGTTGCTATGCGGGTGTAGTAGTTCTTACTGCTATGAATGACCCAGCGTCCTGAAGTAATAAATACAACTTTCCAGAAATGCAAATGAGTTCTCTCTGGGGCTTTGTTATAACATCTGGCAGTTCCTAAGTTTCTTTGTGAATCTCTTTGTGAGATTCAAAATGTTCCTGTCTCAGATTACTCCAGCGGCAGTCTGCCCAAGCACTTCTGGGTTGCCTTTTGGTAAGCAGTTTCATTGTTTGGATGGTGCTGCTTAATGTGGCATTGTCTGTCCTTATTTTCAAATTCATATGTTCTCAAACAATAACAACTTTCAGATTTTGGGACTCTTCTAACGAGAACCTCTCTGAGTGGGTCCCTAGCTGTTGCTCTCCACTCGGAGAGGCCCTGACAAGGCTGTACCACCTTCTACTGAGATGCCTTTGCCTCCCTGAGGCCTCTCCCAGAAGCACCCCCAGCTGTGCATATGGGGTGCAGGGGAAAGCATATTTAGGGAACACAGCTGCTCTTGGCTGTTAAGAAAATGCTTAGAGAATGAATGTTCACAATGTCCACTGATTCTTGCATTATTATTTTATTAACTGCTTAGGAGTATAGTCTTGATCCAAAATGCTAAGAGAACATGAGCAGCAATTCATTTTAATTTGCTGCAGTTCTTGAATGCGTGATTGTTGCATGCCTGTTTAGTGTGTTAACTGTGTGCAGCCGTTGATACACAGAATTGCAGTACAGAAATGTTTTGTGTCTTATATTTGAGTTGGATTTTTCCAGCTTGCAGTACTGTAGGTTCACTTCAGAATTAGCATCCTCTTGTGAGCAAAGTTTAGCTGGGACCCACCATACTGTTTATTAGGACATTAGCTGCTAGATCTGGAATTGCTGTTTTCTTGTCAGAACAAGAAAAAATTGTTTTACCTAGAATATACAGTAACCCATCTATCAGTGTGCCGTCTTTGCCACCTCCTACTTAATTTTCTGTACCTCTCGGGGAGAGTTTGGGGACACAGAGTCTCAAAAGAACCAAGTGATGTTGCATCTTCTGCTTTTGCTACCAGCTGGCTTGAGGAAGTAAGGGTAATGGTTACCATGATGCTGTATGTATGTGTCTCACTCTCTCAGTAGTATAGGCCTTTACTAGCGCAGAGTGCAGGAATGAAAACAGCTGCTGTCTTCCACATGACAGTGGGACTGGTTCTCATTTACCCACTTACGGGATTTCTGTGATGTCCCTGATAATCTGTCATTGTAAGTAGATGTTTGGGGTTTTTTGGGGTGGTAGAGGAGATAAACAAAACTTCTAGGTGAACTTTGTTCATTTTTTAAAAGGGTTGTGTTATGGTCTGCCAGATTGAGGTACTGGATGATAAAAACTCAAAGGTACCTTTCTGTTCTGCATCCCTTTTTTATTGCTTCTTTATAAATACATATTCCATTCAGAGCTCTTGATGCATTTGATCTGTTTAGATCCATAGGTCCATATAACTTGCACAGAACTCAAATCACCTTCCTTTGGGATGAAAGGCTGTAGGAATTGCTCAGGGCCTCAGACTGCCTGCCTCAGGTGAAGAAACATGTCAAACATCAGTATTCAGGCACTTACTGCTTCTGTCCGACTTCAACATATTACTGCTGGGCACTTTGCCTTTCTCCTTTTATTTTTTTTCTTTTGAATAAAAACATCACATGTTCTCAGGCCACAGAGTATGATACCCAGTATATTCTTTGCCATTCCTTTTCCTTATTCTAGGAGTTTTTGAGATTCATAGATCATTCAAACCAGACTGCTTTAAGGGATCAGTAAACAATTCTGAACACTATGAAATCCTTGTAGCCAAACAATAGCTTAGTTAAAAACAAACTTAAGGCAGCTTGTATTTCTAATTTACAGTACATTCTGCCAAACGTTGGTCTTGGATTAGGTGGGCTACAATATAAAGCCTTGTAGGCTCCACTTAAAAGAATGAAAAAAGTCACTTCACCGCAAGAAAGACTCAAGGTTTAGATTTAGGAGCCACTGCTCTCCAAAGTATGCTTATGTCCAGCTCAGCTTTATTGGGCAGACAGTTTACTTTGTAGTTATATATGTAAGTAAAAACACATTTCTTGTTTCTATTTTAAATTGCCACAAATACAGTTACAATTTAATAGTTTTCATATTTTAGAATTAATGTTTTATTCAAATGAACCAGTCATCACTGAAATCTTATTTGAAAAAATGAATTGGAAATGTGACTGTCTACAGATAACTCTGGAGAGTGATTTTTTTTTTTTTTTTTTTTTTTTTTTTTTCCCCCCAGTAAATACTTTTAAAAGTTGTGAACTCATGTTAGTAGGATGTAGTAGAATTTTTCTGGCCTATGCAGTGGCTGCTGCTATTGTCCTAAGTTAAATAAAAATCTATCAAGCAAAGTTAGATTTGGAAACAGAAGGATGACAGAAGATACTCTGATCTTCTTGTTATGTTCAAGCCTTTTAAAGATTTTTACCTCGACTGTTTTAGAGTAAGGTTGATCTACTGGCTTAATTCTTGTTTGCAGAGCTAATTAAACTTGGTGTTATTCCTTTAGGATAGAGTTAAGCTGAATAAATCTATTGCAAATGAACTTTAGAAATTTTATGTTCTCCTATTTGTTTTTTTTTAAGGATTTATGAATTATTTGCCTTAGTTTAGCAATGATTTTGTGCTTCTCCAAAGTCGTGCTAGCTATTTGAGATGACAACACAATTTTTATGAACAGTAAAGATCAAATATGTAGTCTCAACACTTCCAGCAAGTAAATACCAGACAATGATCACAATAGCAGAAGCTGGGCTTTTAATAATGGTATCTTGCAATGATTTCCTAAAGTAGATGTTCTCTGTCAGGGTGGTGGCTTCATTAAAAGCAGATTTGAGTGCTTGCTAGAGCTACCAGTGCAGCTCAACAATAGTTGGTTGCTCAGATGATTTCACGCTGCAGGCAGCATTTCAGTGGTCAGCCTGTCCTGTGAGCCCATCCCTGTTTGTGATTAAACTAAAGATCCTTGAAAACTGCAAGACTTAACATACTGAACATTTTTTCTTTTTTTTGGGAAACATCACTTGCTCTTCCTTCTCTTGCATCTTAGTTCATTTCTCCTAGCTAATTTACTACTATTTAAATTCTGCATGCTGAGGATTAGTTTCTCCAGTTCTTTCTGTATAACAATACCTCAACAAAGATACTGTAAATCTCCTTTTTCCCACTTAACTTGCATAGTCCTATAAAACATCTGGATGTAAAAATAAGTTAGCTGCTTGCTTGCTGTCTGTCTGCCTGAGAACAGTCTGAGATTCTGGCTGACCAGAAAATGGTCAAAGTTTTTTTGTTACTGAACGTGTGGGATCTGTGAAGGTATCGGCTTAAGTATCTTGGTTTTATTTAATTTTTTTTTTAGAAATTACCTTTAATTGCTGTCACCTCACACACTTATAGATGGTCAGCAGTTCCCTAGGAGGAGTTTTTAGTGATGGAAATATCATGGAGAAGAATTGCAGTAGAGAAAGATTTGAGGAGATGCAAATGGGGAAGTGTATTGCAGCCACTAAATCAAATCCACATGGGAATCTTCCCTCTCAGGCGTTTCTGTTGGGCGCTGGGGGCACAGTGTAAATGCTGACATCCTCTTCCATAATGCTGTAATGGCTGGAGTGAAAAACCGCGGGAGGAAAATGGAATTTTCTTTGTTCAGCCAAAAGTGTCATTATAATAATTTGAGCAGAATTAAATATGTGGAACAAAAAGTGTGTGAGGCAGGAAATGCAGGCTGTCTTTAAAGACTCTTAGGTTTATTGAGACGTTTTAATCCCTCTTGCCTCAGAGGGGTAAATGTTGGGAACAGTAATGCACTGTCTCGGAGTGCTCAGAGTTCCTCCAATAAAAGTTTCTTCTTTAAGGCATTTTGTATTCGAGCATGGGGGAAACGGTTTGCATTCTGGTGTGTGAGTCCACATGGGCCATGAATGGAAACTGCTGATGGTTTGAATTCATCTGGGAACGTGTGCCAAGAACAAACATTACTGTGTGAAGAAATCTGCATGTACTACATGAAGTTGTGCATGTACAGCCAGCATCTTTTTTTTGGTGTTTTTTTATGAGGTGTTTTTGTTGGAGAATGGGAAAATGGACTTATTCATGTTCCTTGAGCAAGTCTTCCATTTTTATTTTTTTTTTTTAGTAAAGCTAACAAAAAGATTACATTATGTCTGCTTTTAAAAAAGAGGAACACTGGAATGTTTTACTTGAGCACAGGTCTTTTGCATAGATCCACCAGTAAATATGGAGAAGGTTGCTTATTTAAATCCAGCTGGTGATTTTTTTGACCTATGAAAAACAACTTCATCCAAACTATACTGACAGCTCAATCTTAAAAGCCTGTTTGCACACAGGCACAGTTAGTTGTTTTCTTTTTTAAATAAGTAGGCTTTTGTGGTTCGTGCTAGTGTCAGTTTCCACATTAGATTCAGCAGGCATGTCAAGTATACTGCATTAGATTAATTGCTTAATTCTGGCATCTGAGGCTGTTGTAAACCCAAGTATTGGGAATAGAAGGATCACAGCTTCCCAGGCAGTGAGCACATGCTTTAGTTGGAGGTTCCAGTTACAACATTTGGTATCTACTGCATCTGTCTACAGCTCCTGCTGGATGAATATAAAAGCAGCTCAATCATAAAGCAAATAACAGCATGCAGCAATAAACTGCAATATTTGATTGTTCTATGTCATGTCTTCCGTGTCTCTACTGAAACGGCAGATTTAATACGTCTTGGGATACCGTTTTGAGCTGGACTTTAAATAAAGTTGGATTTGTATGATGATTGTGCATAAAAGTACTTGCATTAAGAGATAGAGATGTGTATATACATCGAGAGGTATGTTAATCACATCTCCTAGGTTTTGCATTTATTTTGGGTTATTGCGTATGTGGCAGTCATTCTAGTTTCGTGCTGTAAGTGGCAGCGCACATATGAAGCAAAATGATTTGGGAAATCTATGAAACAGGATTTGGATAGCATCTCTTGTTTGTTTGGCTTGCCCTCTTGTTCAGCAGTCTTATCAAATGCAACTATATACAGTGAGACCTATTGCTTGTAATATCCTTAAAGTAAATCTTGAAGTACTATATGAAAGTTTTGAAGCTATAAACCAGTAACATTTTCTGCTACAATCAACTGTAGGTAAGGAAAACTTACATCCTCTCTTAATCCAGGAAGCTTTTACATCACTGAGTATATCTTAGAAATCACACTTTATTTTGCCATGTGTGAACCTCAAGAAAACATCTGAGAACATCTATTCAACGACTCAGTTGCAGAATTAACAGCATCAGATCATTGCAAGCTGGAGAACACTTTTTCAGTTGGATGTAACTTGAGTATATTTTTACATGACAGCATTTGTGTGTGTTTTCCCAATAAGCTATTTATTGAAAATTCTTTAAGCATGCAAAGGTCTGAGACTGAAGTTGTTTTTGCAAAGATTATCAGTCTCTATCTCAGTCAGAAGGAGATCTGTGTGATTAAACCCATAGTCATTGACGATGGCCTTGAATTAAAAAAAAAAAACAAAACAAACCCCAAAACAACCAACCAACCAAAAAACCCAACCAACCAAAAAACCAAACCAAAAACTAGTTATAATGTGCCAACAGCTTACATGCTGGTATAAGATATGCTGCAAATATTTTCATAACATAGAAGAGGAGAAAATTGTGGTATAATGAATGTGAAAACAACCTTTTCTAAGTAAGTAGCAGGTAAATTTATTGTTTTGATTCTGTTTTTGTGTTGATATATTTGTTGTTAAAGGATAGGTAACTTACATGGTAGGAGTTATGTAATCATATCTTTTCAGGAGCTGTGTGTTCTTTCTTCCTTTGAAATTGGACTGGATTTTTCTTTTGATGGGGTCCTTTTTTTAAATGCAATTGATTTTTGGAAAGGTGCGTGTAAAATGTCTTAATGCTAAAACTCTTGCATACCTCTTTATTGGTTAACTGAAGTATACTGTTACAGATTATTTTGGCAGCGGATTCTGTTTTTATTTCAAAATAGGTAGGTGGTGAATTTGATTTGGCCTAAGTTGTGCTTGCTCATGCCTCCATGTATGCAGCTCTTTATTTTTTGCCGTTTTCCTGCCCTTTTCCCTCTCCTCTCTCTCTGTCTCTCTCCAAGATCAGGAAATATCATAAATAAGTGCCAACAAAATGTTGAAACTGCAAGTGTTAAGACAATTCCTTTACTGATAGTACTCACACTAAATAATGGATCCATGACTCTTTTGGCTTCATAATCCAATTTGACTGGAATTTATCTATGTTTTCTAATAGTTAAATTGTGGCAGATATCAAGTGATCCCACAGACAGAATTTCTGGCTTCAGTAGCTGAGACCTGAAGATGATCTTATACTAAGAAAGCTAGGAGTTCAAAAAAGATCTGTGGGCTTGAAAGTCTAAATAATACAGAGATGTGGAATTTAATCTATGTCTATTGGAGCATCATTGTATTTGAACAATGAAAAGGGTCATTCAGCAGTCTCTACCAGTGGGACCTATGTACAGATTTCAGTGCAGAACTAATTGGAGTTATAATTGTGGTGGTGTCTACATAAAGAGCCTGTTAATGTCCCCTCTGTAACTGAGTTGTCCCTCCTTCAGTTAGGTTCCTCTGTAAGCTGTGGCCGGACGGACCTTTCCTTTGCAGGACATGCCTGAATAAGCAGCTTCCCTCCATCTCCCTCCCTGTTCTCTACAATTTTTTTTTTCTCTCCAAATGTCTCTCCTAAGTTGACTGTGCTGTTTTCTTATGACATGCATTGAGGAACTGACCTCAGTCAAAATTATTTAGCAGAAAAGAGGTGTGGTTTTGTCTGCATTAACCCCAATGGTTTCTCCGACACTGTTTTCTGTGCAATTGCCTAGTTGCTAATTACTGAGGGGATGAGGTGCTAAAGCTGCAAAAGGTGCAGGAGCTGCTTCATCAAGTACTGTCACCAAGAGCGGTGCTCCTGAAGGAGCAGTCTTACCGAGTCTGAAGCTTTCTGTATTTTCTGTGAACACAACTTGTTGTCTGCCAGCACAACCACAGTGTTCCTTCCCTGTGCCCTTGCAATGCTTTCCCTCTCTATGTGGATGTCCTGGTTTCAGCTGGGATGGAGTTAATTTTCTTTCTAGTAGTTGGTATAGTGCTATGTTTTGGGTTCAGTATGCGAAGAATGTTGATAACACTGATTTTTTTTCAGCTGTTGCTAAGTAGTGTTTAGTCTAAAGTCAAGGATTTTTCAGCTTCGCATGCCCAGCCAGCAAGAAGGCTGGAGGGACACAAGAAGTTGGGAGGGGACACAGCCAGGGCAGCTGACCCAAACTGGCCAAAGGGGTATTCCATACCATGTGATGTCATGCCCAGTATATAAACTGGGGGGAGTTGGCCTGGGGGGATGGCTGCTCGGGAACTAACTGGGCATCAGTTGGCGGTGGCCAATTGCATTGTGTGTCACTTGTTTTGTATATTCCAATTCTTTTACTATTGTCATTTTATTATTGTTGTTATTATCATTATTAATTTCTTCCTTTCTGTTCTGTTAAACTGTTCTTATCTGAACCCATGAGTTTTACTTTTTTTCCCGATTCTCTCCCCCATCCCACTGGGTGGGGGGGAAATGAGTGAGCAGCTGCATGGTGCTTAGTTGCTGGCTGGGGTTAAACCACGACAGTGGGACAGATGAGTTTCCCTCCAGTTACCAGAGAGGGAATTAATGAAGCTTTTATGCAGCATGAAGTTACGAGGTGTCTATCTGAGAAGATTTTGCATCATCCTGAAGTGCTAGTGTGGACAGCTTCTGCCCAAAATAAGTTGAGCTAGTTTAAGAGAATTGAAGAAGCGTGGAAAACAACTTCTGTGAAGACTCTTAGAGACTTTGAAAATTCTGCCTCTAAGTGTGTGAAATTATCTTCTAAATTCTTTATATCACTAAAACCTTTATTTGAAGGTCAGAGCTGGTAAAGCCCATGTGAATTAACTGGACTTTCATGTAACTTAGGGGTTTCTAATTTTTTTTTTTCATTTATGATTTTATTTTTTAGAGAGCGGCAGTCTGCTATATCTGTGATCTACAATGAATGCAAAATCTGCAATCAGCAAAGAAATTTTTGCCCCACATGATGAAAGGATGCTGGGAGCTGTCCAAGTGAAAAGAAGAACAAAAAAAAAGATTCCTTTCCTAGCTACTGGGGGTCAGGGTGAATATTTAACATACATCTGCCTGTCAGGTAAGATTGATTTTTGACATCCAGTTACCTGTTTAGTTTTATCTTTGATTAACTGATTAGCTGTTATCCATACCCATAAGGAGCTGGGTGAGTCGAATATTAATAATGAACCAGAGAATTATGGCGCTTGTATCTTTAATCTAAGGAACCACATGCTTAAGGCTATTAATATTTATACCATATAATAAATGGAACAGGTGGTTTCATTGTTTAAAAAAAAAAAGGTGTTCGCTCACAGCATAGCTGCAGAGTATGAACAAATAGAATATTTGATAACAGTCTTTGCTTATTGAGGTTAAGATTTTTCTTGGAGGGATGAACTTAACATTGTATTTCATTTTAATGCCCTGAAATTTTTTGTTTGAAGCAAATATGTTTGCCGCCTCTTTTCATATTTGCCTGTATATGTTACCGGCTCGTTGGGAACTTAGGCAACTTTCAGCCAGAATATTTTCAGTTCATTGAATGGAACAGTGGTGCTATGTGTCAATCACCTGACTTTTAAAAAGGATGAAGATGGAAATACTTGGATTGAAGCAGAAAAGGATGTATAAAGACACATTATGTGAGAGGTCATGGGGAACAGGGAGAAATTATCTGTGTGTTGATAATGTGTTCAGATGAAATTAATTTGAGTTTCTCCAAGGTTAAACCAACACTCATAAGAGTCTAGATTTCAGGAACAGGGTAGGTACTTGGTGTACGATAGTTGGCTTTATTTTTTTACCCTTTCTAATAAAATTAAAGGTCCAGTTAATGTTTTTAAGTGTATAAATGAAACCCATTGATTGGGTACTTGTGGTTAACTATGGTATTGTAGGTTTTTTGGCTGGCTTTTTTATGCTTTGAATACTTTCTGTTATTGTAGTGAAATTTACCTTAATTTAAGATTACGTCTCAAGGCAGTTGGAAAGCAGTTTGTGATCTTGATTTGCCTGTGGTTTATACCTGTTTTCAGACTTAGAGTGGAATTCAGTTGCCTGGAGGTAGGCATTCAGTGCAGTTTTAGGTTTGCAGCCCATCCTTCAGGTAGCTCTCTAGAAAGGCAGAAATCCTTTGTTGTTTCTATGCCTGCCAACTGAGTGTGTGTGAATATCTTTGGTATTCTAGGGTAATTTAGTCACTTAGGTTTTTAGGCATATCAGTTGCTCCCTTTGAGCATATGCATCTTACTGGAAGTACAACTAGTGGTCAGAGGAAGAAGTGGTCTGTGAATCTCAGAAGACTGCAATTATATTTGGACTGAATGGAAGATAGTGTTTCATGGACTCTTTTTTTTTTTTTCCCCGTTGAAAACTATGTTAACACTTTCAATATATAGGAAGTAAAACCCTGTGACTCTGCTACTGGTATAAGACATTACACACCTGCACACAAAATGTACATTTATTGAATGCTATTGGATGAAGTCTTATATGTATGCATATGTACAAATGCTTATGTTAAAATAGAAGGTGCAGAGTATATGCATACACGTACTGAGGACAGCGAGATAAAACAGAAGACTTCTCATTTCTAGCAATGTTCTGCTTGTCATTTTCCCCATATACAAAGCTGCAAGGAAGGGTTTAAAAATTGATTTACCTAGGCTTTTCCCTAGACTTGTGGTTGGGATACTCTTTTTGGATGTAAGGATTGCAGGTTTCAGTCCTCTCAGGTTGCAGAGGAAACTGAATCTAGGTCTCCCATCTCTTAAAGAAATGTTCAAATCACTAACTTTTTGAAGCAAAGGTCAACTCTTCTTCCTTTGGCAGTCAAATTTTTCAACTGTTAGTCCAATTTCTTTTCTAACTCTCTTACTTTAAAGAACAATCCTGTTCTAGGGCTGTGCAGTCCGTTTTGGAATACCCGGGTGTTTGATACCCATGTTCATGACGAAAGATTAGAGGTGTGATCTGTGCTTACAATTTTCTGTAGGCTAAGTCTATTCAGTAGGTGGATTTTTTTTTTTAATTGCTATTCTGGGGAACCTAGCCCTCTTCCAGCTCCCCCACCCCCATGTTGATGTGTAGCAGCTAACACGGATTTTAAGAGATTGAATGACCTTGGACACATCTAATGTCTTTCTGTAACAGGATAACATATTATGAGTAAGGAATAAAGAGCAGATGTCCTGACTTCAGCAGAGCTTCTCACTGACAAGGAGAAGTATTCAGGATCCAAATAAAATTATTGTATGGTGGGCACCGAAAAGCTGCATAATTGCATTGGGAGAGCCCTCATGGGTGGCTCACTATTAATGGAGTTTTGCATGGATCTGAGACCAGTTGTTTTATATACATTTATAGTTTATATTATGGAATGTACAGTATGATTGGTAATTTCAGTAGACAATGAAGTGACTAAGGAGAGGACTGCCTGGCTGTGTTTGTGTTTAAGGGCAATATTAGAGTTCCAAACAGTCTGATCAGAAAGATGATGCAATTCAATAGGGTCAAGTGCAGTTAGTTACTTAGTCAGGAATAATCAATGGCAGAAAACTAAGGGGTAGGGAACAACTGTTTCTACCACTGTGGTTAAAGGAAATGTGACAATGATAAACTATGGTTTTTGCTAATCCTGATGGCTGTGAAGCAATAATGGTTTTACCTACAGCAACAAGTTGTGTTACAAATTAAGGAAAAGTTTTTCTTTAGTAAGGGTAAGTTAATGTGGGGATGGCAGTTTAGCTTTGTCCCGAAACAGTCCAAGATGAACTATATCTTGGGATAACAGAATATACAAAGTGACGTTCCATTTTTCTGTGATGCAATGAATGAGGCACAATGGTGGCTAGCTCTGGATTTTAGTTTCCACTTTAAGTGACCCATGCTTTAATGCTGAATGTGCAACATCTATCTCGGAAACACCTTTATCAGCCTTTGACTCTTATCCTGTTTTTCCCAGTTTTGCAATGTATTAGGTAAACGTAGTGACTGGAATATGTGTTCTTAGTTTCCTTGGACGAACTCAGTTTGGCCTTTGCTAAAAGAATTTGATCATTTACTGTTTAGAACTGAATTTCAACTGTCAGTTGAAAAAATACACATAGAAACTGACTTGCTAAGGGACTTATAAATATTTAGGAATATAAAATACGCTGCTTAGTTGTAGTTTCATTCAAGATATGGTACAGAAAATGAAACAGCCATTCTGATAGCTGCTTTTATTTACTGCTCAGTTTGTAACTGACAAATTGTACGAATTGTTGTAATCAGAGTTAAATGTTTTCCTTTCTGTGTTGAATTGAAAATACATTATATTATAATTGTTTTCTATCTGCATTTTTGTAAGCATGGATAGAGATGCTGAGCAGGGAGAATGCAATGCCCTCAGGCCTCAAAGTGATAGAATAGTGAAGCATTAAAAGAGTCAAACATTGAAGAGAGCAAGATGGGAGAGTAAGAGAGATTCTTCCTTAAAATTTGTATTTGAAGTATGTACTGGATTTTTTTTTTATCTGACAATACTAAATACTGAATTGGTTAGAAGGTAATACTCGTTAATGCTCCAAAAGGGTGTACCTAAAGTCTGTCATCTGAAACTGGAGACAGGTTAAGGTAAGAAATCTGAAGCAAGACTGCTTCCCAGACTGCTGGAAACCAAGCAGCTGGGTTACCTGCAACCTTCTAGCCTGCGCTAGTGGTGGGACTGGCCAAGTTAGACTGGCAAGCAGAGCCAAGAGAGATCTTTTGAGAGTTATTTAGCTGAAGAACAGCAAGAAGGGAGTAGACAGATGGGAAACCCAGAGGTGGGGTGGCTGTAGGCAGAACAGAGAAGATGAAAACTGGGATATTTTTTTTTTTAAATGTAGAAGAGGATTTAACACAGAGGAAAGACAAGAAATTCAGAGCTGAAAGTGGATATTTGTCACCTCCTCCACACTAGCAGACCTAGTGACAGTTATTGGATCAGATCTAAGTTTTAATTTTGTCACCATTGTCTTATATAATTGAAACATGATTGTTTAAAATAGTTCTTAGCCTTATTTAGAATTCTGAATTAAGTATAAAATACTTAAAAGGTCACTTCAGAAATACAGGACAGTGGCAGTCTCTCCTACTTGCTTGTGCACAGTTCTGTGTGTGTTATTTCCCTTGACACCCTATCATTATGTTTTTTAAGTAACTTCTAATATTTAAAAAGATTTTTAATGTAGTGCATTGGAAGTGTTCCAGTTTGTACATATGGATGTGGCGTTGACCTTTCAGGGCTAAAAATCTATCGCAGTTGCAGTGAACTGAATGAACCAGATGGTTCCTTTTGAACCTGAATTCCTGTGTGTCATAACACTCTCAGCTTAGCTGCACCACTCTTTCTAGTCCTTCTGCTGAAAAGCTTGGGATTTGACTGTAAAGCTGAAGTTATTTAAACTTGGAGTGGAACTTTTTCCCACTGTGGTTATGACTTTAATAGTGTTCTTTCTTTGCCATCTCCAAATTAAACTAACATATTGCCAGTTCAGCGGTTTTTTTGGATGGCTTTTATGCAAAAGTACAATCTATCAAGAATGGTGCTAGAAGAGCCAAAAGGAAATGCAAAGAAATCATAAGAAATAGTATACAAAAATAAGATATACATGCAGGGGGAGAGTGTGTTGGGTTTTTCTTCCTTCTTTAAAATTTAACCTTATTGACCATGCCGTGGACTTTTTCAAAAGACAGGCAGTAAATAGCTTAGAAAGCTATTTGCAGTTACCACAGTAGGTTTTTGGAGGTTGTTTTATTTCTGTTTCTAAGTGTACAGAGAGTCAGAGGCTCCACTTATTAGCTTAAATAATCCTGTGAATATCCTCGTCTGTGCTCTTACAGCACACTTACTTCAGCAGATACCTAGCCACAGCACTCAGTTACACTTCCAACATAAGCTTTTGTATTCTCTTTTTTGCCTGTAGAGCCAATGGTGCTGTAAAGTTGTTTTTCAAAATATGAATTTGTTGTTCTTCCCATACTGGCTGCTCATGGAATAGAATATTACTTAGGAATGACCTATATCTCTTGCTCCTTTTCAGGTTACTTCAC